TGAAGAAATTTGTAGTTAGCCTATACCACAAATAACTTAAAGGGAATTCATAATAACTAATTATTTCAAGAGGATTTTAGTTTGAATGAGATCTATAGATTAATTATACAAGTGTTGAATACGGTAATTTGGGCATTGAACTCTGAGCGATAAAGCCCAGAATCCTTTGCACGTGCTAATTAGTTGAAAAGTAGATTAGTATAAATGTTGAAACAATTGAAGATAGTTTTTGTTAATTTAAAAATAGAATAGAAGTTGTCTCTTTTACGTGTAGTACAATATTTAAAGATTAGAAAGAGATGGAAATAATAATGAATAGAAGTATATGTTATAAATGGTTTTGGCAATCGTTTTGCTTTTAAAAATATTTTTGTGGATTTTGTGGTTACGTAGTTGATAGAAGGTATCTAACTCTTGAAAATTTTTTTAAATGCCCTCTCGCCCCCAGTGTGAGGGGACAAACTCTCATTGACTCAAAACCACCTCTTTCTTTCAAATGCTCCAGGCCAAAGTCACTGTAACTTATTACGCTAGCACCGCAACCCCGGCTGAACATCGACCATGTAGGGCCCCATCTGTGGTGGGCTTTTTTTGTGAGAGGAAAATCATAAAATGACTTCTCCCGCCCAGGGCCGGGTGGGAGGGAGTATCAGACTCTTACTGACTGAAAACCCTCCCGTTCCTTCTCCTGCTCTGGGCCGAGGTCGCGGTGCCTCATTGCGCTTACCCCGCAACCCCGGCTGAACATCAGCCCTATAGGGCCCCGTCTGTGGTCTATTGACGGTCTATTGACTCGTTGAGGCGCGCGGAACACTATGTACCTTACGCTCGGGTCTGATTAAGGTCGGGCGCCGAGCTAACCTTCCTCGTCGACCGCACCAGAGAGATAGTCACACGATCCACGATGCCTTTTTTTGTGAGGCGAAAATCATCAAATGACTTCTCCCGTCCAAGGCGTGTCTGACTCTTCTGACTAAAACCTTCCTTGTTCCTTCTCCTGCTCTGGGCCGAGATCGCGGTGCCTCATTGCGCCTACCCCGCAACCCCGGCTGATCCTCGATGGCTGGAGTGTATCCTACGGATAGTTCTCCGCCGTTCAGCGCTCCGTCTCCCTTTTTTCAAGTATCACTACTTTGCAGAAATATGAGACGGTTACCCAGTTCCTCTCACCCTGTAAATCTAACTGATAAAACTAAGCTTTCATTTTAAATCATCGATCTATTGTTAATAAAAGTATATGTTTCTTATTATGGCTTAGAATGAAAAGGCCGACTCGGTTGGAGTTTTAGCAGGTGACCTTGGATGTAGACTCTATAAAGACCTAACAGCTAACTTATCAGGGGGGTGAAAGCGCAATAAAGCACCACGGGACCAATGGAGCAGCTATAGAAACGGGGTGGAAAAGTTAGTTAGAATCCGACACTCCTCTATAGAAAAGCCATTAAAATTTGATGATTTTCTCTCCAACCTAAAAGGGCTAAAAATAACTAATCATTAAGAGTGATTACGACTAATGGTCTGGGTAAAGAATATTTTCCACTATTAAGTATTATTGGCACGACGTCCATAGTTATTTGTCGATAACTCTTGGAACCATCGGCAGTCACGTCAACGTGACGGTAGCAGAAGTAAAGAATACCTAAAGATATAATATGTATGTGTGTATAAGTGTGGTAGAGCCAAGCTTTGGCACGAATGGGTCAACTAGACCGGAGTGATACCATGACGTTACAGAAAACCAACCAGCGTTGTGTTCCGTCATGTGAGTGAGGTTACCGGAGGCCCATCATCCTCAGGGCTAGGAGGGTCGATTCATTTCGTCAACATGTTTATCAACATTAAGAGGTTCTTTAAGTTGAGGTATAAATTAATAAAAAAACTGTACATCAAATTTGACACAGCCGTTTGGAAGTTATAACCAAGGACAGTTATTAACTAACCATTTTACATTATGTGGAATAATACAAGAAAACACAGCTCTACTTAGCAAAGATTTTCCCAAAAATTGTCTATTTCGTGTTTCACTTTAGTGATATCGAACACGCCCGCTATTACCTCTGTTATGGTCGGCCCACGCGCATCTATCGAGACGATGATTAATACGTACGAAATAGTTCTATATGAGAAGCGTAAAGCCGAGTGGCCATGATCTGCGGATTCACGAACGTACTTTTAGGCTATGTTCGCAAAGCGAATTGTACCTCGTGCGAAAATCGAATATATTTAGACTAGCTTTTGCTTTTTTAATAGTGACTTGCTGCGGATTCTTAGTGTAAAAACTATCCTATGTTCTTTCTCGAGTTCCAAACTATGTCTGTACCAAATTTCACAGAAATCAGTAGTTTAGACGTGAACAAAAGACAGACAGACAGACAGATTTCGCGTTTATAATATTAGCGTGTATTAAACAGAGAAAGGACGACACATGTGAATCTCATAAAACGCCATTTTTAAATAACCTAAGTAATATTTATTGATTAAGAAAAAAAAACAAAGAGTGAAAAAATAGATCAAAAAGTGGTCTTTCATTATATTATGTTGGTAATACGGTGGTTGAATAATTTAAGACCAGCCAGTACTTATAGTTACAAAAAATTACATTCTATTTATCGAAAAATTCAAAGTTATTTCATATGTAGATATACCGTCTGTAACCAGCTTAACAATTACGTAACGCAACCAGGTGAGCTTGTGAAACTATTTGTATAGTTGAGTGCGGTACTGATTGCGGTTTTGAACTAGTATAGTCTGGTGTCGCATTATGGAACAGGATGATCTTAGATAATTTTATTTAAGTTTTTCAGTATAGAAGAATTCTAACGTCAGTAGGATTTTGTCAAAATCAAAGTATTAATTTCAAATAGCCTTAGAAAGGAACTTTTCGACATAACCAAAAAGTGAAAATAGGTGCTCGTTTGAAAATGAAGATTCGTATGGAGTAGAACGAGCAAGATACTCCAAAATCACTGTTTGGAAAAAGTTTTTTATAATCTAATTCTTACGTATTCTTTTTTTTTAGTTTTTTTAAGTGTAACTAAAGAACAAAGGCCATTGTTGCGAATACAAGCGAATTATTGTACCGTGGTCCCAGTCTAAAACAGGAGAAGAAGCAGGCAATGAAGTACCAATGAGGCAGCAATGATTAAAACTTTAAGTCTAAAAACTGTGATTGGACCAAATTATAAGGAAAAATAGCCTCTTAACAATTACGATAAAAAAGTGTGTGTTTTAAGTAGTGAATTCGTTAAAGATGTGACAGCAATTTCAATGGACGATCTCAATAGAAATTATCAAACCAGAAAGAAGAACAAATTTAAAAAATAATTCACGCAGAAAATATTATTAAAAACATAGGGCTTTGTAGTGTCCGTTGTATAGAATTAAAGTAATAAATACCTTCAGGAACTTTTATCTACTTCCAATAATAGATTAACAGTAAACTAAACAACATTTGCACAGCATCTGGTAGACAAAGGCCAATGTCCAAGTAACCAAAATAATAGGGTAAATGCATTGGTATCAAACTTGAGATTAACTAATTCAAATAAAATTATTCCTATTTTAGCAAATGAAAAAAGCAGCTAAAATTGAGAGTAAGGCTATTGTTCTCTTAGTAAAGGTCATATTTCGTGCATAATTATTCACTCACACACAAAGTCCGCTTCAGAACAATTGAAAATCTTAGAGGACATAACGAACGCCAAAATCTATCTCTTCTACCAACCGTAATTTTCTAAATCCTCAAATATCTAACCCCCAAAATCCCAAAATAATATAGTCACCCAGAAATCGCTGATCGGAGTATGATCTATGTGAATTTTAGCCACGTTGTTTTTCAAACCATCTTCAGCATGCTTACAAACTCAATAGCGGTGAGACAATTCCAAGTCAAAAACAAAGTCGTATACCCTAATCTAATTATAACCATGAATAATTATACAGAAACAATTGTTTAATATCACCACATGAACTCTATGACTCAATGGGAACTATGGACTAATACTGGCCATATGGAGCCCGACAGACATTGCGAAATAATTTATGGCTATGACGCTTAAATTTTGGCTGGACCTAAATGTCAGGTTTGAGCTTGCTCTGTGGAACGGAAATGAAATGTCTATGAATGATGATGGGTGGTCTTTTAAGACGTTTGATGAAGACAATGGAGAAAATTTATATGTTGGTATTGATGAAATTTTACTGCACGGTTGGCACGGTGGCTGTCGCGCAACGTGTTGTGGGTGCGATTCCAGCACGGAACGACTCTTTTTGTGATCTGATCTCTTTGTGTATGTGAAACTGAGAGAGAGAGAGAGAGAGAGAGAGCAAGAGTGAGAGAAAAAAAAGAGAGAGATATGTCGTTCGATGATTTTTGAACTTTACACAAATGGACGGAAGGGAAATGAAGTTTAAAAGGCTCCAATGTCAGAGAGTTTGTGTCCGCACTGTTAAATATACAAATTTATGTCTGAAACGCTAGCAAGAAAAATGAAGGAGACAAATATATATTCTGTTGTCATCACACGACTAAGTATTTTACTAGATTCGTGTCAATTCGTCTGTTCTTACTAGCGTAACCTATTTAGCTAATTTGTGTTTACTAGTTACGTAGAAAGGTGTAGGTTGAAGTTTTACAGCGTTTATTTCAATTCTGTTACCAACTTCACATTTTTGGAGATGTCGAATAAGTTTTGGATAGTTCCAAAACAAAAAAAAACGATTGTTTTTTTGCGTGATAACCAGCAGGTAGCGTAATACGATGATTCTGAGAATTCACTGGGCTTAGTGAAAAAAAAGTATATCCTTTCTGCTAAAAAACATTTAACAGTTAAATTTAACAGCATACCAATTCTTCAGTACAAACAAAATATCTAGAAACCCTTCGGCCGGATACCGACCACGTGTTACCCTGCGCAAACGCACATTTCTAACAAGGGGGCGTTTTCTAAAAATATAACACAGAATATTATGAACGCAATACGCTCGGTTAGTCACTTCGCGTTCATCACGAAACACGGTCCCGAATTCCGTGCTCGAGTCCCGAAAAACGAGAAAAATCTTTTGTTCGAATCATGGTACTTAGTGCTGAAATTTTTGAATAACTTGACATATTTTAATTTTTGTTTAAAGTGCTTGTGTGGATTATTTTTTTCGGTGGATTTTATTGACGTAAGATTTGTTTTTTATATTTTTTTTTATAGCTGCGACAATTTTTCTGTTCTAAATGAGACGTTTAATATTTATTTGTAAACAAACCTCATTCTTTTCTGCACGCAAAGCGGTTATTTGCGTTGAAAAAACCGGGCCGACCTCTTTTTTATTTCTAAATTCGCACAATAATAAACTATTCCCAGACCTATGTACATAGTACGTGCTACAAATTCTTACTAAAGATACTTTCATGTCTTCTCTCTGAGTTTAATAAAAAAGAAAAATATCGTTTTTTTTTCTATACATTTTTTTACTCATTTCAATAGAAAATTTTTCGGTTTTATGTTCGTCTATAAAATATGAATCTGAGAAACTTAATGCTTATTTAACGCCATTTTGGCGTCTACGGGACGCATTTTCTCATGAAAAACTCTGGCCATAAAATATTGTAAGTTATTGCGAACAAAGAAAATCCGTTTATTATAAACTGTGATGTTTTACTTTCTTTGTTAATATTTTAAATTAAATAAATAATTGAACAATTATAATGGGTTATGGCAGATACAATTTTAAAGCTCATTATTATTCAAGAAATAGTATGATCATTGTAGTTATCTTTGTCATTATTATATATTATTTTCTCTTCATTTAATTTTCCATAATCAGTCTAAGCTAGACTTAACTCAAATTAATTTTCAAAGCACTGAAAAGTATGAAATTATCACTTTATATGAATGCTGTTTTTATTGTTGTACCTACCCTTGATATTAGGAAGCATGCTTCGACCCGATTCGTTAATACCATAAGGGCGTAATATGATTACTCAATTTACGTTTGCAATACAGAAAATATCAATTGAATCATTTTTCAATTTTGACTAATAAGTCTTTTAATACTAATCAGAATTGTACATACTTAAGCAGATATTCTTCTGTCACACAAAACGTTTATTCTAGAGCGAAATCAGGGTTAATTAACCCCAATTGCAATTATACTCACGCTTAACGTCTTTGCATGCACAAGAGTGCGAGTTCGACGCCTGGCAAGTACCAATGTGACTTTTTATAAATATAATTTACTTTCTACAACTATTTGGACATTGAAGGAAAACATCGCAAGGAAGGCTGGACGTATAATTTCTTATTATAAGTTTGAAGTCGCCAATCCTTTCCGCAAACATGGTGATTAATACTCAAGCTTTGTAACGTATGAGAAGAGGCCTTTGCTCGGCAGTGGAAAGGCTGATATACTTACTACTTAGGTACACTTAAAGATGATAGGTATATACTCACATTTTGTAATTCTTGCATCAATTATGAAATCAGTGTGGAAGAAAAAAACATTTACAATTTCATTCTATTTCGCAACCATTGTACAAAATGTATCAATTTCTATCCTGTCAGTCTTTAACAGACATTACTTCAAACAAAAGATCTTCAATACATTTGATATTTGATTTATCAGCTGAGAGTAGATTTAAATTTAGATCTAAGCGGATACTATCTTCCTGTTGTCCTAGGCTGAGAATACGAATGATTTCATCTTCGACTACAATAGTTTGTTGGTTTGAGTTAAGAGAGACCTGTTTGTGGTAAAGAGCATTTTTGAGGATTTTCATTTTTTGTTAACTATTTAGTCTTTGAATAATATTTAAAGATTTTCTATGTAAGTCGGTGGAACACAAGCAGCCATATTGCCTATTGGTTAGCAATCGGCATCGCCTATGGACACCCGCAACCCCAAACGAGAGTCAAGAGTTGCCTTTTGGGAATAAAAGCCGAATTTTTTGGGATTTAGGCATTAGGGAAGGATTGGGTTTTCAGTAACTTCAATTACACGGCGAAACATATGTTGAATCATGGCTCATATAATATAACCATATACTAGCTGACTCGACAAACTTCGTACCGCCTCATTTTTTTTAATTCATACTTTCTGACCTTTTAAACCTTCCCTGTATATCCAGGAATATTTCAAGTCCGCAAATAAGCCATGTCGGTCCAGCTTTTCTCTAGTTGTAGCGAGACTAACGGACAGCAACTCATTTTTATATATAAGATTTAGCGTGTTTTATTTACAGTAGCATTGGTCTTAAGTATTATAAAAGTAGAATTTAATTATGTTAGCTCATGTAAACTTGATAATTGTTACTCTAGACTAGAATCTAGCTCTTAAGATAGTTATTAGTTAGGTAGGTATAACTTAGATGACTTGAAGACTAAAGCGAATAGGTTACTTATGGGCACTTACCATCTGTCAGGCAAAATAATGGCCAAATCTCAAACATTTACACAACGAAAAATTTCGAAAATGTTTTTCAATCTATAATTTCGACTTTCGTTTGAATTGATAAAAAAACACACGATCCTCAATAAAATCTATCACCGATCCATAATTAATTTGTAAACGATCAAAAATGTAACTGCAGTTTCGGAAACTTAACCAAACTAAACACGGCACGTGGCATTACGTACAATATATTATGTTTTTTTTTTACTTTGATGAAAACTGTTAATGTTCTTTCACACCTACGATGTTGCTCTAGTTTTTAATACGTTATCGTTTCAATTTGGTTTGTAATGTTTATTAGAAACAATGTGATCAGTTAAGGTAAATGTAATGTAGTGGACAAACTCTAGGTATGTGGACTTATCCAGCTGGAGTAGCCGGTCCTAGCGCAACTCTGGCTAGGGAAGACGCAGGATGTTTTAGTCAGATACTTTGACAGTGGAAGAAAATAATTGGGGATTTTCGCCACTCAATAAATTAATAAAAGGATATGTAGCGACGATATTATAGGTAGTGGTGGTTGGATGGGAAGGGCTTGAAATGGGCTGGAGAAGCCAGATAATAGATAGATAGCAGATCTAGCTGTGGACGGGGATAGGCTTATGGTGATGTATGTATGTGGTCATTTGAAGTTAATTTTGGATCGTGGATGAATTTGATTCGAATTATATTATATTTTAAAGATGCGCTTATTTATGGAAGAACGTTTTTCTCAATCCGATATTTAATTATTAGTTAGTCATTGTTATTAGTTAGTCCGATATTTGATGAATGCTTACCTAAAAATTGATGTGAAAATGTGGTTGTCTGTTTCCAAATAAGTCATACCTTCATAAAAAGGTGTGCTCGAGAACTGACACACGGATCGATTAAAATAAAACTTGCATCTTCCTGATTTTAATTTTTGCAAGTATATTGAGAATAGCTGAATTCTGATGGTGGAAATTTTAAAACAAAATTGCCGAACGGTTCCTGGAAAAACAGTTTTATTTGGTTCAAAATAAAGTTAATATTTGCTTTTAAAAGCAATAAAAGTGAATAAGTTGAACAATAAAATAAAATAAATTATTTAACAATATTTTATGTGAAAAATAAAACGTATGGGCGTTTCCGCTAGCAAATGCTCAATTAAAAACCGTTGACGTTTATATTGTTGTTCTCTTTTCGAATTCTAGGGATCTGTACAGAAAAGGTCAGTTATTCGTGTTATTTCTTAGTTTTTTTTTAATGTGGTCTCCCTACTCTGTTATTTTGATGTGTCGAGGGTACTTTTACACATATACAATTTCATATACACACAACACCCAGACCCGAAATAACGATTTGTGGATCACAGAAACAGTTGTTTCAAGCGGCAAACCAATCGAACTTACAACCTACAACATGACAGCCGGTTCCCCCAACCATCAAGTCAACTACGCTTGAGTTAGAAATTTCATAACATATGTATTTTTTCTTAACATTTTTATTCTTATTTTATAAACGGTAGGGAAAATAAATCTATAAATTTTCCAGATACCATTTGAAAAATCCTAATAATAATTGGGTCAAACTAACGTATCAAACCAGAGACTGGGTCTTCTATAGTCGAATCCAAACAAATAAGAAAGAAAAAAACAGTTTTTTTCCATAAAGTTTTTTTTTTCATTGTCTAAAAGTACCTACTGAACCCCTAGAAAAGAAACCACTAACTTTTATTTTAACGTTCACAGTTTAGTTACAGAACAATATTGTTATTTTTTTCCGCCGTCCCAATGTTATTTTATGGAATGGAGAAATGGTACTTTAAATTCAATCGGGAAGCTGTTAGCTGAATGCATTTGTATTTTTATTTGAGCTTCTGAAAAGTTAGTTATAAAAGCTATGCAAATTGACATTACTATCAACGTGAACATGTGTGGGAGAGTCATGCATGTAATACCAGGCCGGCTCAATTGAAGCGATATCATGGCCTCACAGGAGACTAGCGTAACGCTAGTATCGTCGTGTGACTGAGGACCAATTCCAGAAACCCAAATCCTCAAAATCTTTGAAAGCCGGCAACTCACCTGCAACTCTGATCTCTCTGCTCTGGCGTGCAAGTGTCTATGGACGGAGCCGATTGCTTGCCATGACGACTGAACTTATGCCGCCATATTACATATTTTGTTAAAATACATGTTTTTTGACTTTAGTTTTGAATATGTTTTATTTATGCAAGTGGGTTCAAAGACATGCACTTCATTCTTCGTCAACTGATTCATCAGTAAAGTTTTCATAGTTTCACATTCTTGGATGCAGATGCTATTTTTAAAGTGTGGCCCTTCTATCCGATAATACAGCATCAAACCTGACATTGGGATTTCATATCAATTATTTGGTTGGTTTCTTGGAAACGAGATCTTACTTTTAAAAGGTACTGGTTTATTTGATACACTGCAATTGAGTGTATGTTAAATGTCGAGAAATTTAACGGATTCTATGACAGCATTTTTTTAATGCACCCACACTACATGAGAAAATCCCAGTCCTACTGAAGGATTATGTCTCCTATGCCGTTTATTATAGATTAATTTAATTATTTTTGTATTATAAGATTAATTTGTAACTATCGAGACAGATTAAATAAATTAAGTTATAGTACTAAGGCTTACTTACGTAAATTTTGACAAGATTAGGAAGGTTATTGCACCAGTTTTGTCCAGACAACGCACAGTTGACCTTGACTGTACCGTGCATGCAATTGCCAG